CGCGGATCTGCTCAAATCATCAATTACATGTAGTTGTAGGACTAGGATGTACCCCACCAGGCCCCCCCCCCCCCAAGAAAAAAAGTCCACCAGAAGATTCTTCCCTTTACTAAAAAAAAATCCCACTTGTAGCTTTATACCACATTTTGAAAACAGGAAACGATTTTTCTTCCATTTTTTTTTGGCGGATTTTTTTTTCATTTGTGATACACTTACAGTAGTTACCCCCTAAGTCTTGAAACATAATTTTTCGGTTCCAGTGAATGCCAAGCAAATTTGTTAGCAGGACAATTCACTGCGAAATTCAACAGTGTTGAAATGTGTTAAACTCATAGAGCTATATTAAATTACTAGAGCGCTAACTCCTCATTCTTTCGTGCGGAGAGGCCTTGAAGCCGTCCTGGGCGCAGACATTTTGAATTCATGCGCGTGTTTGTAGAACATGGATTGAATTTTGAAAGTGTACCATACTCTAAATGCAATGCGCAAGTAGAATGTAAACGCAAACAACGTAAGCGCGTCATGACGGTTTAAAAAAAGTCACCGTCAATCATCCGCAGCAGATACGCGCATGGGCATTGCACCGTTTGTGTAGAGCAAAATGAAACGCTGATTTGCTGAACATGTGTTTCGGTTTTGGGCGTATCGACTTCGATGACGCACCGGTATGGAATACAAATGCAGATATATGCAAATAGACGTACAAAATAGGTACACAATTTCTAGTTCTCCATAGGTTTGTGTACAAACATGGATGCCCCCAGTAGGCATTACTTTGTACATGAGTTAGCGCTCTAGTAATTTAATATAGCTCTATGGTTAAACTTAAGCGAATTCACAGTTCGAACACTTGCCACAACCTCTCAAATTCGCAAATGCGTTAGGGCAACAACCAATGTCACAGTGAAGCTTAGATTGTTGACGTCACGAAATTCGCTTCGCCATCACTGTCACATGAAGTACGAAACAGTCTTTATAGTGTGTTCTTCAGTGGAAAACCCCCATAGTAAGATACGTGTAAGAATTAACTGTGGTTAAAAGTACGTGTCGATACGGGCAGTTAAATTTTATAACACAGAACAGTTACAGGTACACGTATAAGCATATTTTATGATTGTGAATACAATTTACATAAAACTGAACAAATCTAATCGAGATGTACATGTACATCATACAGAATACAACTAACAAGAGCAGAAGATGCAATTGTACATGTACATTTGAGCGTGTAAGATACAGTACATACCAGCACTTGATGAGATTTAATATCCACGCATCATGTCCATCTCAGAAATGTCATAAACAAGCCACTAGAAATTTGACTCGTAGAGATGAGGGCATTTACAATTTGCACCCCACTGTCATGGCAACAGCGATGTCAAATTTTACATAAATTTTAAGTACATGTCAAACCGCATGAGCCATGTACTTGTACAAATTTACTGTACATATGCAGTGTATGTTATGCAGTTTTTTAGTAAATTTGTGACATGTACATGTATATTTCGAATGACATGAAAAATAACATGAACTCGGTGAACATGACTCTCACATATATTTTGTTTCCAAAGTTATTCTCACAAGTAAATTTAAAAGTATGAAATTTCTGGGGACAAAACATTGAAGAAATGCTCGACCAAAATCATTCAAAGAAAAGGCAACATCATTCTTTTTTTAAGGAGAAAGAATTAAAATAAAAACATGATCCCATCAGAACTGTGTTAATAGCTTTTAAATTTTTCCAAAAGCATGTTATTAATTAACTAATACATTGTATAACATCAGTACACTGCACTTTGTATACTGAGCATGAACGTCATTCTCCACACCAGCAGGCCTACAGTGTACATGTACATGTACATGTACATGCTACATGCGGTGTAGTCCATCACAAATTAAATATAATCTAAAATGCATGCATCATTGACTATAGCTCCATGTACAAATCACTCACCAGATTCCCCAGTTTCTTTATCCATGTTTCAGACACGACTTCAAATCCCCAAGAAAATGTAAAAATTCCAGCGCAAAAACTCTGTGAATAGGTGCAGCTCCGTTCTATACCGATCGGATCGCTCAACTGTGAGATCACTGGCGTGACTTCAAATAATAAGGCTGTATACTCTTGTTCAAATATATCTGTTGACCTCCAATATTGTATTTGTGTTTGAAGGTCCGATGAGAGAGCGGGAACGTAGAGTTGTGGACATTGCACAACCACTAGTAAATTTTAGACTGCCTCTCTGATAACAAACTCGTGTAGATAAACCAGTGAACTGAGATACGTGTAATAATGACCTCATGCTTGTGCATATAATTATTTATCATGTAAGTTCACTCCCTATTGAGTATTGTCAAGCAGTGAAAGGGTCAGCTTCTGGGAAAGGCTCATGAATATGTTAATTAGCAACAGGCAGCTCCACTGGCATTACATAAGAGATATTGTGGACAGATACAGGCATGTACTATGTAAATATACCTGTGCATGCAATTGTGCTAAATCTTATGCACATGCATAGCCATGTACATGTACTGTATACACAATGTACATGTACATGTGGACCTTTAGGCCGAATAAAAGATACAATAATTTTGTCCGAAGCTCTTTCTGAAAAAAAAATGAGGGAGGTAGATTATTAATTTTCTTCTTTTTTTCCCCAAGATGACGGAAGGATTCTTTCATTTTCTCGATTCTTTGATTGGTAATACAAAATTGTGTTCAAAAGAGCTGTCACCCTTGCTCTCTGCAATTTTTTTTTGGAAACAAATTAAATGACGATATGTATATATTTGGAAAATATGTTGCACATGTATGAATTTAAAATGACACCAACAAAAAAAGGAGGGTGTCGGGAAAAAGGAAGCAGGAAGCGCACAGGAATGAGAAAGTGGTTTATTTTTTTGACTTGGCCTATAAATTCTCCAGGGATAGAAAACATTCAGACTTTTCATTAAGGTCCCCCCCCCCCCCCCCCCCACAATGTATACATTTCAGCCTGCAGATTAATTTAAGGGGATCTGATTTAAGGGGATCCAACGGTGGTCTGCCGACCACCGCTGGAAATTGATACAAAAATACCATTTTCTTGAAAATGACTTCAGCCCAGGTGCCATAATTTTACAGGATGCTTTAGACTGTCATTTACCAACATCCTATTAAGGTATTTTGTAAAAACTTGGTAGTTTTATTTTTCAATGTTTGCAAATGTTGTATATTCCCTTTAATGGTACGTATTACGTACCTGTACACGTACAGGGTGATCATATATGACAGCACTGCTCGGTTGGGGGGGGGGGGGGGAGTGAGTGAGTGAGTCAGTCAGTCAGATGGGTACAAAGATACACTAAAAGGCCCTCTGGGACCAGCAACAACCTGGGTTACTCCAAAAGGTTTTTTTTTGGAGGGGGTACAAGTACATGTATTTGTGGGTGAAACCAATGAAAGTGACCAAAATGGTGAGTAACTTTTTTAAAAAACCTTTTACGTTTTACATTTTTGTGTGTGAAATAAAAGCAACAGTATCTGTCGGTTACAAAATCTATCAACAACCAGGTCAATTGGGATTAATCCCAATTTTCTGCACGTGATGCTTTCCTGCACGTGATCCCTTTCTGAGGGGGGGGGGGGGCCCCTCAGAAAGGGATCATGTGCAGGAAAGCGAGGAATAATCGGCCGAATGGTATTGTGTTGGTTGAAAGGACTTGAATTTTTGTTGTTCCGTGGTGGGCAGGTTGCCTTTTCATCGAACAACACACAGAAACTAGGGAACACAGTGCAGACTACTGAACACTCAACCGAGGAATTTGCTGGGTGAATTGTCGCGGGATTACGGCACGACGGTTTCGGCGATCACATGCCACACGCTTTTGCACAGCTTTTGTATTTCCTTTGAAAATTCTCTCTGGGTCAGGTTCGCGACGGTATGAGTAAACAAGTGGGAGTTAGCTTCGGGATAATGCGGAAAAGGTTGTTCACTTCCACTAAAATGTGTGTTTTGACTTAAAGAGCAAAGAAAATGATTTTTTTTTTTTCAAATTAAATATTTGACAAGTGCTTATGATGGGTCATTCGAGGACAGCTTTCAATGATTTTGTATATACCATTGGCATGTCGTTTCACGCACTTTTTTGAAACAGCTTTTTGCTAAGGACAAAAAAATACTTCTGCTTCCAATTTATTGGCATTTAGAAAGGGTAGGTAGGATTTCTTTTTTTTTGCGCAAGCTATGTCCAGCACGTAACAAAGGTTTAACCCTTTAAGATATTCATGGATAAATATCAGTGTTTTTTTTAATACTATATACTACTGTACTAGGCATCTGCAAGGAGAATACCCACAAAGTTTTTTAAGTTTTTAGTATTTGTGATGATTTAATTTATTTATTTTAATTTAAGTTTTTTAAGTTGTTAGTATTTGTGATGATTACGTAATTAAAGAAAACATTGCGTTTTGCACGGGACAAAAAGGCGACCTTTTCTTGGACTTGCCCTACATAGAGCTACATAGTAGAATTGTCACCGTCTTTGTAAAACTTTAGAAGCCACATCCCAAATTAATCAACTATAATCTAAACAAGCACGAATACAACCGACACCACTGTTATTTGTTACAATGTTTCAGCACAGTCTAACGACGCACAGGTAAGGTGATGAGATGTGATGTGAGGCACACACAGGTCGGATGGTGAGATGGGTGCGATCGGTGGTTTGTGTTATCACTCGAACGCGCAAAAATTTAATTTGCGCGATCAGTCGATCCAGTGCGAAATGCCAGCTACTGAACTTCGGTTTTTGAAAACAATCCTCCACAGAAATGAATAAGAAAGAAAAAGTGCTGGAATGATGGCAGTACAGGGGCACGACCGACTGACGGCACAGCACGATCGACTGACAGCTCAGCTCGGCCGATCGTGCCCAACACGAGCAACAACCCGATGGTAGCAGTGCACACCATGGAGAAAGGAAACACAGCAAACAACACAACTGGTGAACCAACTCACCTTTCACCTCGATAGTCCGCGTCGACATAACCGCCTGAAATTCACAAGGAGGGGGTTTTCAGAAAGTAAAAACGCTTCAGAAAATGCCTGTTTTGGAGTCAGAACCTGAAGCGAATTACATGTATTTTCATTCTCTTTTCTGAACAACTACTGAGCAAAACGCTGGAGGCAATGAGATAAAAAACAACAACTGAAATGTCAGATGAGTTCAGGTCTGCACAACAAACCTTGCTGAGTCAGACGTAGAGAAATAATTAAGTACCAGATTCTAGATTTTTTCTCAGCTGATCTTTTTAGACAATGGTTAATGTTTGACAGACAATGGGCCACTGGAGCGGGCATTGAACATTAATAGCACAGTCATGGTAACGCTGTCAGCACGCTTTACGTAAAAGTCTGTACCCCATGGACGTCCTTTGATAACGAAAGCTTTTGTGTCCACCCAACTGATCAATAGAATACTATGAGCCGGTCACTAGTTATACAAGTTTCCCCTAAGACCAATGCACGCTGGTCAGACTGTTACGTAACACTGTCCAGTTATGTAAATAGCAACCTTGGTCTGGTTCTGGACTCCGTCTAGCGCCACAAGAGATTTCTGCACAGTTATATGCTGGATCATTATCAGATGTTCCCTTAATCCGGAGTGCAAACAAGGACAGCAAATAAAGAACATGGCCAGGAATTGATTATTGCTCTATGATTAATGAAATATCCTACCTCCATGGTACATCCTCCTCCATGCATCATGGAGGCAAGAACAGGAAATTAAGACACGAAAGGAAAATATTTATAATACAACCTAGATGCAATCAGTCTTGTTTTTTAGGCTAAAGTTCAAAAGTACTTATGGATATACTGTACTATTAACTAAATTACAGTAGACAGAATAAAGTTCAAAAGTACTTATGGATATACTGTACTATTAACTAAATTACAGTAGACAGAATAAAATCATGGATGATTGAAAATGTACTGATTTGGGTGGCACTCATTGATTTTGATTTTGTTGTTGGTTGATTTTGAGATGTGGGGTCCTTGCTCTATCATGTCTATAGTAGATATGGTTTGTTGGTTGGTAAATTGTTTTAGTTGTCTGTGGGGGTGGACAAGTTTATTGAGTTAATTTGTAGGTTGGTGGATATTTTGGTGGGGGTGAAAAAAGAAAAGTTGGTTGATCAGTGGTTATTTATTTGGTTGGTTGGTTGGTTTGTTGGTTTGTGGATATTTAGTTGGCTGTGTATGGGTGATACAGCAACAGAGGGAGCAACAGTTTTAACAGCAGAATAACCTAAGCTTAACCGTCCTATGCAAACATACATTCTGTGCCAAGTTGTCCTTTCAGTCAAAATCAGTCAAGTGACTGTTTTCAACGGTTAAGAGCTCCCAGCCTACATAAAGCAGGATGGACTGGCTGCGACTGTAATGTAACTTGCTAAGCCGTGCTTTGACTGTATGTGATTGATAAGACAGCTGTGCTACAGTTTCCTGCTTTTGTCTATTGACTGAATTTGACTAGTCAGAGTGCTTGCCAGGAATATGATCTGTTTGTGACTAGCCTGTGTAAGAGGCATGGCAGGGAAGTGGAGGGAATTTTTGACTGTCTGTGACTGTTTAAACAGTAGGAGGGTATAACTATTTAGTTTTCCTACATGTAGGTTTAGGTGGAATTCCATGAGGGTTTGCTCCGACTTCGATAACAAACACATTAATATTCATAGCTGGTGAGGCAAGCAGACCATGAGCTTACAGAAATCAATAAATGGCCATTTTAAAGGGAATATACAACGTTTGCAACCATCGAAAAATAAAACTACCAAGTTTTTACGAAATACCTTACTAGGATGTTGGTAAATGATAGTCTAAAGCATCCTGTAAAATAATGGCACCTGATGTGAAGTCATTTTCAAGAAAATGGCATTTTTGTAAACATTTCCAACGGTGGTCAGCCGACCACCGTTACTATTTTTCAACTACTGCTCCAACTTTACACTTTTTTTGGTCCAAATTTTGTTCGCTATTGGTTACATGTTCATGAACGGGTGCAGGCCAGCTAGACTGGTTCCCTTAACCTTACAATTTTCCGACAACTATAAATTGATCCATTTTATCTTTAGTGGAGTCAGGGAACCAGACTACTTAAACATTTTTGTTTTTCTTGGTTTTTCAAGCATTTTTTAACACAATACTTCAAACATGTCAGTTAAACAATATTTGATCTACATGTATACCCCTCAAATAGTTTATTTCTGAAAATTACAGCAAAAGCCAATGATGTACATTCCCTTTAAAGAGATCTGAACATTTTCTATTCAGCCGCCTCAACACTACAGAACAAAAAGGTCCAGTGTTTCTCTCTGTTTGAACAACAACAGACTCCCAACATCATAAAGACCACTTCAAATAGCAACCCACATTTGATCTGGCCTTAATGTTTGATCTGGCCCACCTGTGACTGTGAGGCTGTTTTATGACAAGGCACCGGGCTTCAAATTTGTACTAGGCAAAGCAATATGGCAAATTCACATTGTGTGGAGCTTTCACTAGAGGAATGAGACAAAACTTTTGCATTTTCAAGCAAAAGTTTAAACAAAGAAATTTCGGGAATTAAAAAATATATATAGAGAGAGAGGGGAAGTACCTCAGGGGGTAGGGGTGGGGTGGGGTGGGGTGGGGGGGGGGGCAGGGAGTGTGAGGTGGGCAGGGGGGAGGGGATGAGGGTGGGGGAAGGGTACAGCGAAATCAGTGATAGTATCAATGTCGTTCTACATGTACTAGCTTTTGCAACTTTTCTGGACACCCAGTGAGCAATTTAAGATCTAAAGGCATTTGATTTTTGTTTTCATGAATTCTGAACACTCTTTAGTGGGTGACTCATGGAAAAATCACAGAAAAAAAAGGTCCCATGAAATTCACCATTTTATTCTCATTTTAAAGTTTTATACTGTACCAGTATTTCTGGTCACTTTTTGGTATTTTGTATTACGCTGAAATTAATACAATATTTACCGGTACAATGTACAATTTGGTTTTATTTACACAGTCCCCAAAAATAAAAGTAAAAGAATAAACAAAGGTAACAAATACATACATTTAATTAATTAAGACCTTTACTTAACTGTACTCCTTACTTAAAGGGAATGTACAACATTTGCTTTTGCTGCAATTTTCAGAAATAAATGGATTTGAAGGATTAGTATGTTATTGCAAATATTGTTACACTGACTTGTTTCACGTTTTGGGCTCATATGCTGGAAAAACCAAGAAAACCAATCATATTCTTGTAGTCTGGTTCCCTGACCCCACTTAAGATGAAACAGAGCAATTTATAGACTTTGGGGAATTGTAAGATCATAGAATCAGTCTAGCAGGCTTGTAGTCTTCACAGGTGTGTAATCAATCGCAAAGAAAATGCAGACGAACTAAATATGAAAAATTAGGAGCACTTTTTGAAAAAAGCCAGTTTTCTGGTCGGCCGACCAGCGTTGGAAAAATACAGTTTTTCTTGAAAATGCCAGCATACCAGGAACCACAACTTTACAGGATGCTTGAGACTGTCATTCCCTAACAATCCAGTAAGATATTTCGTGATAATTTGATCATTTTGTTTTTTGATGTTAGTTGCAAATGTTGTATCTTCCCTTTAACAAAAATGTATTCGACCACAGAATCAAAATGTACAAACAGAAATGATTCATCAACCATACTATGTACGACAGGATGAGCTCATTAAATACACACTGTTCAGGTATTTCGTCATGCAATCCAAACAGATCAGGCTTACACTGTTCTCCTGATAAAAAAAGGAAAAGATTACACAGTGCAATCCGATTATGGCAGTTGACGACTTTCCCGCGTTTTTTTTTTTCCTAGAACAAACATCTTTGGCAAAGTTGCTTGCTCAAGTTATCCAAATTCTGAAGCACTGGGATCTTGATCAAAAGTACGCTCAACCAAAAACTTATTGCAATTTATGACAAATGATACCGAAAACAGTTGCAGTTTTGTATACGTGCAGGTCGTGGTTCACGCTCACCTTGCACGTATACAAAAGTGCAACTTTTTGTCGGTTCCATTTGTCATGAATTTTGTACACATTATGACTGTTTTGGGACAAACAAAAAGTATGGCTGGATTGCTAATGAATTTCTGTACTGATCAGTCTTAATTTTAGCAAGATGTGCCCAGTAGTTTTTGAGTTAGACAAAAAAATTGTTAAGAAGGGACTTTCTTTTTTGGTTGAGTGTACAGTTACCGGTACACATCACACGACAATATTCTTAAATTAATAAATGTTTGAAAAGAGCCGCGTGGATAATCCTGAAGTGTGCATTCTTAACGCCTTCAGCCGATATGTTTGCTAGTCCTAATTGGATGTCATTTGCTGAAAGAGTAGAGTATAAATAGGCTATTCTTGTTTACAAATGTATAAACAAAATTACTCCTTTGTACATATGACAAATATGTTTACACCACTTATTCAGATTCGTGAAACGAGACAATCCACTGATGGCATTGAGGATTCCTTCTGCAAAAAAACAATGTTATGCCTCAAGCTTTGCTGTAACTGGTACAATCATCTGGAATAATTTACATGTGCAGTTGAGAACCATGACTTCACTAGCCTCATTCAAATCTGAACTACGTAAAACGTTCAGTCAGTAATAATATTTCTGCAAATAATTATTTGTGTATTTGCCGTTGTCTTCTCTGATTATACAAATCTAGATATGTGCTGATCTACGGAGTTAACAAACTTAGTTGCCATAATAATAAGAAGATAATAAGGAGCTGGATGGGAATTTCCCCGTGTTTTCTCCCAAAAGGGTTTTCGCGGGGTTTTCGCCCCTCCCGTAATCAGCGAATATAGTTATAGCAATATTTTTTATTTTTCCTTTTCTTGATGTTACAAGATAGATCCACATTTTTCGTGTTCACTGAATCAACTTTATAGTAAAGCATTCATATTGTACATGTAGTTTTAATAGTTTTAAAATATATTGTATTTATGATATTTGCTTATTACACCTATGCATTATTCAAATAATGTTTTATCTCACTGTATTGAATTTTATTGTATTTGTAATGTATTGTATAATTATACATGTTTGTACCGGTAGTCATTATTTATTGTACCGGTATGCAGGGCCCCAATGGAAACCAGTTTTAAACTGTTTGGGCATACCCTGGGTAAAGAAATGGAATAAATAAATAAATGTGCACATGTATGAAACCAAAACTCCACTCTCATTTTACAACAATAGGGTCACAACTAAAAATATTTAAAATGCCTCTATTTTACTTCCCTGGTGATTAAGAATACAACTGATATAAAAGTTGGTATCAGAATTTTTATGTCCAGCATACATTTT